ATATCTAATATTTTTACATGCTGCTAGTGAGAGAACCTGTTATTAAAATATTTGAATCCCACCACTGGACAGCACCCGAAACAACACAGCATTCAAAGCACCCCAGACAGCGTCCAAAACAACACAGCAACCAAAGCGCCCTAGACAGCACAAAAAGCACAACAAAAACCAAAGCATCATGGTAACCAACACATTCACGGGGGAGGGGGGAATTTTCAAAAATTTTTCATCCAGAACAAAAGTAGGCCTAGCTGTAATCGTCTTCTCGCGATCCATATAGGGTCGCAACCCACAGTTGGGGCACCGCTGGTTTAAGGTGAAAATATACCACATCATTGCCTACTATACGAAGTTACTATTAAAATATAAAGTGTACATTCCACCAAATATCCTGCAATTTGGCATAAATTCGTACTGTTCACCAGATTATGTGTTTCAATGTAGGAAAACACTGTAACTATTCAAGTCATCAGGCCTAAAAATAGTTCATTTACACAACTACAGACGGATATGTTATCTTAACAGAATATATTATCTACACGTGGGATACGTGTAATACAAGGATTTAAACGTAGTTGTATCTTTATTTAGATGCAAAATTAATACGAATCCAAAACATTCTGTTTCTGTCGTACTTACTTTCATAGTAGAAATGTACACGTATTTAAGCTTCAAAAAGACACTTTTATCCTGATAGTGACCTGCTTTTTAAGTTTTTCTTATATGTAATTTTCACCCTCTGAACATCCACGTTCTCTTAGAAGTGTTCCGTAAAGAGAAAGTAAAGACGTCATTTCCAAAGCCTTTTGCCAAGCATAATATAGTATCAACCTAACATTGGTCTCGTCTAGTTAAAAATAAGTTTTCTTCTCCGTAAGTGATCTTGAAAGTGCACAAAATAAATACTTAAACAGGCTATTGTGCTAAGCAGATAATACGTAAGGATGGGAATAAGTGTTTTGAAGTTGTGATTTGACAACAAATATAATTTCAATACAGTGAGTGTAATAAGTGTGCGTGTGAGGGAACTCATATAATACGAAACATACTGACTATATATTTGTCTGGATAAATCTAATGAAATGAGATAGTACGCTACAGTGCGTGCTTTCACCAATTTTCGATGCATCTGCACCTAATAAACCCTCATAACGTCACATATATGGATTTCGTTTATTAGTTATTCATGTTATACCAAATGAATAGGCTTCTTAAGTTTACTTAGAAGGTATCTATTTGTTGATTTACTTTACTTCCCAAAAAGTGAATTTCGGTGACGAAAATATTATGCAGGAGTTTTTGTTTTTTTTTAGGATTATAGATCCAAACAAAATACCTTCCAATATATTTTTTCAGGAAAAAAAAAGTTTATGAAAAATAAACCTACATATTTCATGCACTTTTACCAACACTCTGGCCTGCGACTGGACGTCATAACGTGTTTTTTATTTTGTTTTTTTATTTTTCAAGGTAAATTACTCTGTCGATCCTCATATCCTCTATTAAGTTAAGGAGTCCCAGTTATTTCACAGTAGTTATTTCGTAGTGTCCCTTAAATGTCCATGCCAATTTTGATAAAATAAAACTCCCAACTTTTCTTGAAACCCCCCATATGGGAACCCATTATGAAAATTTTGAATGTTGAACATAAATACTTATTTCATATAACCCCTTACATGTCATGTCAAATAACATGTAAGTCCCCCACCCCCCGAAGAAAAAATGTTTTGCTCCTCATATGGAGGCTGAATTTAAATAATTTAAATTTTTGTCTTAGATGGCCCCTTACATGTTGGTATCAATTTTATAATAAATCAGTTTAATCAAACCTGAGAGTCCTCAAAATCGAATGAGCCCCATTTTTCGCTCCACCTTACGACTTTCTAATATCGTTTACATTAAATACTATAATAAAGTCAATTAGTTACAATTACTATCGCCATATAGTAATTAAGTTACAATCCCTACCGTCAAGTTCTGTGTAAATTACATTAATTATTATCATATTTTAAATTACACAATATTTGCCACTATAAAGTAGGTCAGTAGGTCATGATTACCCGAATATTATGCGACAGTAAGTCATCTACTTTTATTTATCACGTCATTCATAATATTATGCTTCAGTAGGTCATAATATCTACTTTTATATACACTCATAATTACCCTAATATTATGCGATAGTAAGTCATCTACTTTTATTTATCACGTCACTCATAATTACTGTAATACTGTGTGTCAGTAAATCATAATATCTACTTTTATTTAATACGTCACTCATAATTACTGTAATATTATGCTTCAGTAAGTTATAATATCTACTTTTATGTACGTCACTCATAATTACTGTAATACTATGTGTCAGTAAATCATAATATCTACTTTTATTTAATACGTCACTCATAATTACTGTAATATTATGCGTCAATAGGTCATAATATCTACTTTTATGTAACAAGTCACTAGAATGTTAGGATTATTCATATACTACCATTTAGTGAATTTGTAAATCGTTAAGCATATCTACAATATCTTACCATATAGTCAGTAAGTCACTTGTAACATTTATCACAATAAATATATATATATATATAGTAGTGAATCGATAACTGACTTTTAACAATTACCGTCATACAATGAGGCAATTATAATGTTCTATCATCTAAGGAATCGTTACATCACATGTACTACCATATAGTACGTAACAATATATTCCTCAGTATGTCAGCTTGGAACTGCCAACCTCTAACACAACGTAGTGTTAAATATATTTCTGAATTACTTTACAGTTTGCAATGGTAATGTTTAATATTAGGTCGTCAAGAAATTAAGGTTGTGTTTAGGAACACTTTCATTAACCACCCCCCGAAAGACGTACATCATGTTTAAAAGTTAAACGAACTGCTTAAACGTCACGTGTAAAGTTTAGTATACTCTAATCCCTTACAGTGATGGCACACGACGAGTCACACATTCGGCATGTAATGCCGTTTGAATACAAGAAGGGAAACAACGTTTCAGTAGCCACAAAGAATATCAAAGAAGTTTATGGAAATGTTTTGCATGTTCGTAAGTGTCAACGATGGTTCAGCAAATTTCGTTCAGATGACTTTAGCCTTAAAAACTGTGATGGCAGGGGCCGTCATGTTGGAATTGATATTGATGCTCTGAAGATGCTTCTTGAGTCTAACCCAAGGCAACACACTCGTGAAATGGCCCTGAAATTCCATGTCTCCCATGAAACAATACGTAAATATCTAAGAAATATGGGAAAACTCCATAAAGAAGGTGTTTGGGTGCCTCACGAACTCTCCGATTATCATCGTTTCCAACGTGTGAACGTTGCTTCGTCTCTT